GCGGACGCCCTCGACGACGTTGTGAGCGCATTGACACCAGACAACTGACGAAGGCAGGTGTTCTGATTGCCTACCAAAGTACGCTGACATGCGAATTGAGTAAGCGCTCACTGATCACATCTTCACCAGACCTTACTATTAACAAGCAAATCCTCATGTGGTAAGTCTAATCGCCAACATGGACATTGGGTCTCTTTGCAGTCTCCGGAACTTCTCGATGTTTGCCGGCACATTCCGTTTGGAAGGGAACACAATGAGACTCGCAGAAATCTCCGAGCAAAACTCCGTGTTAGCCTGAAGAAAGCGCGAATCTTGTAGGTCTCATCGTGAATCAGAGATGGAAGTGGCCGCTGCCCTTGGTAACCATCGGAAGTTATTCCGTCTGATATGGGAAACGGGCAGCAGGAGATCTGGTGTTAGTGAAACTATACGTGACGAGAGTGGACAGCATATCCACAACTCGTCAAAACGCTCGGAGTACTTTGAAAGGCAATTTAATTGGTCGGAATTGTTAGCTTTTTGGCCGGTCACTGATAGCCCTGCTCCCTGGGTTGTCCCTTTGGATCCGCCCTCTGGCTGAGAAGTCGAACGTCTAGTCGGACTGCTGAAGTTAACTAAAGCCCCGGAACCGGATGATCTTCCACCAGCCCTGTTCAAATTCGGGGACCTTGCTCTTGTTGATGATTTACACGAATTACTATTGAAACTGTGGGAGCAGAAAGCTGTCCCTACCGATTGGAGCCCTCATAGTCCCAATTTTCTAGGGAAGCTCACGACCGGAATGCGGCAACCATAGAGGAATCAGTCTGATCTCCATCGCCTCCAAATTGCTTGCCTATGTCATCCTTCACAGACTGACTAGCACTCCTCGGAGCCAGATTCGTGAAGAGCAAGGTGGGCTTTCTCGTGGTCGTATCTCTATGGACTACATCTTTACTTTGCGTCAGCTGTTGGAGCTCTGTCACATGTATTGGCGGCCCACCGTTGTCGTGTTCCTCGATATCAAGACTGCATTGGATTCGGTGGATAGATGTGCCCTTTGGGACTGTCTACTCAGGAAAGGTGTATCCGAGAAATATATAAACATTGTCCGAGCGCTGTACGCTCGTAGCTCGGGCAGCGTGAGGGCCTACGGCAAGCTGTCGCCGCCCTTCAATGTTTCCAGTGGTGTGAGACAAGAATGCCCGCTGTCACCTTTCCTCTTCAATTGCGCTATTGACGAAGTCATGGAAATCGCGTTCACAGGACACGACTTAGAAGGTTTGGATCTGCTCCCAGAAGAACGACTTCTTGACTTAAAGTATGCTGACGATATTGCCCTCATCTGTGACAGCTCACAAAGGTGCCAAGCGGCACTGGACAGATTAACACTGGCTGTCCGTCAATTCGGGCTTTGCTTCGCACCCTCGAAGTGCAAATCTTTCCTCCAAGATTGGCAGGGATCGCCTCCTACGCTGACCCTTGATGGGGATCATCTAGAAGTCGTTCAAAAATTCAACTACCTGTGAAGTTGTATCAGCGCCCATGAGACTGAAGATGAGATCACGAACCGTATAACAAAATCTCGAGGCGCTTTTGCTAGCCTTCGCTGCTTGTGGCGCCGGCGCGCCATCACTCTCGCCCTGAAGGGTAGAGTATACCATGCGGCGGTGTGTTCAACCCTACTGTTCGGTTGTGAAACCTGGCCCCTTAGATCAGCGGACATAAAGAGGCTAGTTACGTCCGACCACCGGTGCCTTCGCAATTAGGCTCACATCTGGTGGACACACCGTATGAACAGTGAGCGTGTTCGACGTCTTCTTTGTGGTACAGGAAAAGGAAATGAACCGCCCAGCACCGTTATTTCGCACTCCAGGCTCCGATGACTCGGCCACGTGTTACGCATGCTAACCCACCGGCTCCCGCGACGTGCGTTGTTTGCTCGCTGCAGGTGCGGATTGAAGAAGAGGAGGGGTGTCTAAGCGATGACAGTCGAGAGGAATGTAGGCCCTCACTTCGAAGCTGGCATCGGTTGGAGCGTCTCGGCTCCCTGGTTGGGGTTCGAAAGACGATGAACGCGTTTGGCTGGATACACTTGTTGATATGGCTAGGAGCTAACCTCAGTGGCGTTCGTGTTGTGGGTTTCTTTCTCCCTCCCAATCTCTCTTAGCCTTCCCTCTCCAACCACGGCCTCATTTTTTAGCATAATATAATTTTAGACAATTCTTTTTTATTGCCTAGTAGCCGGTTGTAGCTTCCCGGAACGATGCCTATCCGTTACTGTTAGTTCAGCTGAGATTCATCGGTTGCATTTTTTCCCTCTTTTATGTACTGCCGCCCAGTAGCTGAGGTGTTTTTCACATCTAGATCACGTGTATAATGCTAATAAACGATATCCATTGCAGTGTGATGTCTGCAATGTGCTCAACCTAACTTTATTTTAGTCGATTACGTATCATATTGGTGACAATTCATGAGGTATAGCTGCACGTGGGGAGGAAGATAATCGTTTTCCAACCATTTAGCGCCCATACGAATCACACAGGTCAAATTTTTTTGAGATAGACGAGACTGTCCCCGGGCGGAATATATATGTATATATATATATATATATATATATATATATATATATAATTTTCAATTTATATTGGACATTTTGCAGACCACTTTGGACCTTTTGCAAACACTTTGGACACAGATTTCCAACTCAGAAACTGCAATTCGCTTGCAAGAAATGAGGAGTAAGGCGACTAGACGATGTTCGGACTACATTGTAGTCATGCTAATGCAACCGAATTGTGTAACCAGCGGGTGCCACTGCAAACTCTTCTCTTGATCGTGAACCTCAATCGCTTCGAACAAAGGCGATGACTGAGTATCCCCCTATCTCTCCATCTGTCTTCTCGTAGTTTATGTGCTTCTGACTTTACACATGAAGCTGTGCAGATAGGTGAATATTGGAAAGTCGGACTACCCAATCGCGTAGTCTATCATGACCTTAACAACTGTTACCTAGCATTGGAGGGTCGTGGTGAAGCACACGTTTGAGGATAGATTACCATGCACCATATCAATGTGGACCGCGATTCCCACTGAAATAAACCATGGCCAATTCGATCACTTGGACCGTAACTAATGAAGTAGATAGGCGACGACCCAGTAGTCCCCTGTCACTCTATGGGCTTTCGCGTATTTCCTCTGGGCCAACCTAATCAGCTGCTCGGCTATTGGATCAGTGCAGGTTATCATCACTCCACTAAAAACAACATAGCTTGACCTGCCTACTGCTGCAATCCATTATCGAAGAAAGGGAATTAAGACGACTGGACAATGTGCAGACCACAGTTGGGCTCACACGATTGCAACGGGACTGTTGAGGCTAATGTTGCATTCATAATGCTTCTTCACCGCAGTTTGGCTAAACCAACTTACACTTAAACTAGGTCTTTTTACGCTCTATAAATTTCATTCCACTTTGCTCACCTGTTGATCGTTTTTCCGACCTTCGTTAAGATGCGGGCTACCAGTGTTCCAAATTCATTCCACTTTATTTGGTTTGTTCTGCCTACCTGAATAAGCTATTAACTGGCCACGTTGTTTACGCTAGTTGTGGTTATCTTCGTTAACTTTATAACGTTTGTAGCATTTTTTATATAACTTGTGGACATTTGTAGTTATCGCGTATTCGTTGCCAACCAACTTACTTCATGCTAATTTAGCCAAAGGTTATTTCGGCATAGCCGTGCGCTTTGACAGATATCTTTTTGTTTATGTCATTTCAAGTGTTCGGCTGTTGTTTCTACATCCCCTTTGTGGCTACGCTTGCTGTGCATGTTGACTAGGTGCCTACCTGTCTATTACCCACTACCTCGTCCATACTGGCTCCAGGAGACAGTTGATCGTTACTGGAGGGGACGGGGTTCACGGTCGTTGTGGCCGTGCTAGGCTCAAAGAGTGGTTCCATGCACTCAGTGTTGGAGCGGACCACGGTCCAGCCACCCACCCAAATACAGTATGCATGTGTTTGTCTGTGAAGGAGTGTGGGCCGGCTCCGTTGATGAAACGTGGCTCCCATCCACATGCCTCCCGGTCTTGTTCCTTCGGGTTTACACTGCAAATGGGGTGTGTGCTTGGAGCAGTGGGGGGTGCAGCGCAAGCCACCCAGGGTCCCTCTGTAGGCGCAGGCGTCCTGTGACTTGACACAGTGACAGGCAAATCCGAAACCGGATGCCGCCAACCATATATATATATATATATATATATATATATATATATATATATATATATATATATATATATCACTACAGCTATATAATGATGTTTCCGGAATCCGCTCGCAAATGAACTAGATGACTCGGGTATCTTTTGCAAGGACAGGTGTAACTTGTTGACGGTATTAATGTAACTTAATTCACCTCTGTATAGCCAGTTTTATCTGTGTTCCTGAGTACTTTGTGATAGCCGCCTCGTGGTACCACCTTTGTATCGTTCACAGTACCTGCACAAAATGTACACATGATGTGTGCAGAAAAAGATCTATCGTTCTCCGTTGTTCGAACCATCGTAGATTCGCTGAATTCACTTGAACTGGGTATTTGTATCTACTCTTAACTTTGTTTACTTCACACCCTTCGCTTTTGCTAATCATTTGCTCTGTGCCTTTATTGTGGCGAACTACCCTCTTTCATGAACCTTTTCATGTGTCGCATGCACTTGCAGGTGCGTCTCTTCAGCACTGCCTTTTTATATTTTTTGCGACCAAAAACAACACCATTGCTTCGTCCTGCCGTGTCCAACCGATGCGGACACTTGGCATATTTGGCCACTGATACTCATTACTTCATCTGCGTCCTCGGGCGACAACGCTTGTCACACAGTTGCCTTTCACACTAACGGGTGCATAGCGCTCGGACTGGTCGCATCCCAACCACTGCATACTAACAGTCTACTTTTGTTATCCTTGTTGGCTGCCTACTGACCTTCAACACCCTAAATGACTGAAACTTGTTTCTTGTCTTCAGGTTTCGAATGCTTTCGATGCGAAACTGATTGTTCTCGATTGCAAGTCCATCATTTGTGCTGGTTTCACTGCCGTACTGCATATTCATTCAACTGTGAAGGAGGTCCGACTGCGAACCATTATTTGTCGAATTGATAAGAAAACTAACGAAAAGACCGATATTCTACCGCGTTTCATCAAACAAGATGATGCTGCTGTCGTTAGATTCGAGGTATGTATCTTTCACTTTCTCTTAGAGCTGTTTCTAATCGCCTGTATCAATTGACTTGCTCTGCCATGCGGTTTACGCCGGAGTTTAGGTCACCTTATTACTTAATGTTCTTGGGATGCATCATGAATCGTTTATTTTTCGGCTCTCCTTAAGATTTATGCCTGTGATTCGGTTTAAGGTACTCGACGTGTTATGGTCAGTGAATCGAAGTGCGCTAGATACGGACATTTATGTTTAGTACACCATTCTAATCCCCCCTGCTATTGTCGCCACTAATACCATGGGGCATGTAACTGCCGGTGAAACCTTTTGAGGAACCACTACATGGAGACAGGTCCACTTGAGGCTGTTCTATGAGTAGCCGTGTTACTTCACTTAAACATATGTATCTACCTTTATTATTATTAGAAATCTCTCCATCTTTCTGAGAGATTCAACTAATCAGTCTGCTCTGGTCCCGCTGTACACAATGATCAGACCACTCAGTTGGACTGTCTCACACTGTCAAGGGATACAACGTTTCTTTATCACTTTATTTATTTGTTACCACTGAGGCAGAGGGTTAAACATGAAAATCAAACTAATAAACTATAAACCGCAAACGCGGTGCAGACAAGCACCACTTCGTTATTGAATCATGTTCGTTAGGCTATCTGCCCACTCACTGGCAAGACTGCTCTCGAGATTTCCGCACAGTAGGACAGCAGCCGCCGATCTGACCTCCTTTTGGTCAGTCCTCGCCTTATGTTTTGGCTTCAGTATGGCACAGCGGTCTTGGAACCTCCAAGATGCATTGAATTAGACAGAGCCAGTCCTTCCTAAGCTTTCTGTTTACACATCAGCGAAGATCACTGATTACACATGAGCAAAGCTCGGTCGCCCATCGCGACGAGACTGAGCCTTAACGTGGTGCGATGGTTTGCTTGCATCAACGATACATTAAGCTATGCTGTGTGGTGCTTTTTGCACCTTCAGGGCCACTCACACCAGATTGGTCAATGGTTAGGGATCAGGCAAACTCAGTCTCCTGTCCCTCCAGGTTGTGGGGTTGAGTGAGGGTGGATCTTTACTCCATAAAACGTGCTCACTGTAGCCCATTGCCAAAATCCCGCTACATTGAGGTAAGGTTCTTAAACCAAAGGCTTTGGTTGAGAACCTTAATCGTTCTCTCTATGCCTGGGCAACCTGACAGTATCCTGCCTACGCAATACAACACCATGACTTTTCCTTCTAACAATCTCTTGATGCCCTGGCCGTCGCAGAGGATAATCAACGGCGCCGTATCTACTGCATCGAGCAGGGTGGGTAGGAGTTTGGATGCTACTGCTCCGGCCCCCCTTCTTCTTCTTCTTCTTCTCCCTCTTGCGCTTTTTCATCCTTATCGTCCCGCTTCAACTTCACTTTCACCCCCTTGTTTTCAATCCCCCACTTCTTGGTCTTATCCCATCCTGTTTCAAAAGTCGCTTATCTTCTAGTTTTAACTCACACACAGTCACAGGGCGTTGCTGCAGTCCAGTCGACAAGTCCATGTTTAACCAAACAGACAATCTCAATTCATTCACTCCCCTTTGGAGCCCTCGATCTTCCCATGTCTCAAAGTGCGCACTTTGCTATAGATTTGCCAACTGACAGCATTTGCTCGAATACTAGAGACCATATTGATCGATATTTGCTGTTTCCTGGAAACCCGCTTGCAAGATTCGCGCTTCGTGCTTACCCTGCAATCCCCCACATGCGACACATTCTCATTGCGCCTGTCTGTACACGACGCAGCTTCAAGCGCCGGTCAAGCTGGCGTCGGCGTTGTTTTGAGTCCCTGGGCTGAAACTGCCCTGATCGATTGGATCCAATCAACAGCCGGATGTGTGCCGTTAGATTGGCTGGTTCGTTCCAGGCTTCGAAGTCGCGCGGGGAGAAACCGTAGCTGTTTGTTATTTCGGCCTATGCCCTCACAAACTACAGCACTGATTCGATGAAAGATTATTTCTATCACCAACTTAAGATGCTCTTCTCTGTCTCACGAGCACTGACTTGCTACACAGCACCCGCAGAAGAGTGACCTGGCGCCCACCAACCATGGACGCAAATCGAGCATATCGCGATCACTTACCGCTGGAGAGGCTGTGTCCAAAACTGTCGCTCGATTTGGCGCACCGGCGTAGACTCTGATCACGCTCTTGTGTATGCTGATCTGCGAGTGCGTTTCGGCGGACGTCCGCAACGTCGCTCTGAGCGCATTGACACCAGCGAACTGGCGAAGCCAGGTATCCTGACTGCATATCAAAGTACGCTGGCATCTGAGCTGAGTATGCGCCCACTAAGCACTTGAAGCTCACTGGTTGCATATTCGTCAAACGTTGCTATCAGCAGGCATATCTTCCTGTGACAAGTCAAACCGCCAACCCGGACATTGGGTCTCTACGCAGTCTCTAGAACGTATGGAATCTCGCCCACGTGTTCCGGCTGGAAGCGAATACAATGAGAATCGCATGGTTCTTAGGGCGAAGCGGCGTGCAAACCTGAAGAGAGATCGCGAATCCTGTTGGTCTCATCGTGCATCGGAAATGGGAACAGCCGTTGCCGCTGGCAGTCATCGTAAATTATTCCGTCTGATACGGGAAACAAGCAGCAAGAGATCTGGTGTTAGCGAGTCCATATGCGACGAGAGTAGATAGTCGATCCACAGGTTGTCGAAACGCTTGGAGCATTGAATCGAACACTTTACAAGGTAGTTTAGCCAATCTGAATTATCACTTTCCTTTTCGGGCATTAGATGCCTTTCTCCCTGAGCCGTCTCCTTGGTCCGTCCTCACGCGGAGAAGTCGAATGTGAAATCAGACAGTTGAAATTGCATAAAGCTGCAGCGTGTGATAGAATTCCCCCAGCCCTCTTCGAATTCGGGAGACCTGCTCTTGTAGATGATTTATACGAGTTACTAATGGAACCTTGGGAGCAGGAACCTGTCCCGACCGACTGTAGCCCCTCCGTCATTGTCCCAATTTTCAAGGGAGGCTCCCGTTCGGAATGCAACAACCATAGAGGGATCAGTCTGATCTCAATTGCCTCTAAATCGCTTGCGTCTGTCGTTCTCCACAGACCGTGAGGAGCAAGCCGGGTTTCGTTGAGATCGGGGTTGCATCAACCACCTATTCACATTAAGTCAATAGTTGGACTGTTGACATGTTTATTGACGACCCAACATAGTCGTGTTTCTCCACCTCATAGTTGCCTTCGATTCGGTGGATCGATGTACCCTTTGGGACTGTTTACTGAAGAAAGGCGTGCTCGATAAATACGTAAACATTTCACTGTGCAACACCATTTTTATTACAAAAATGAGATGGAATGTTTCTAGCAGTATCAAGTGAGCTGTTCACGAATATTTAAACCAAATCTTTCTATCACATCAGGATATTTTAATTTCAGTTGTTCACTTAAGCTAAGCAGTGTGTTCCATGCATCGAATGCTCTCCTGTGATTAATCCATTGACTCCCTGTAATTGTGGAAAAGAAGTCTGCTTGGCCATGGTATCCACCTGACACTGAAATTCAATTGAGAGCTGTGTTTTCTTAAATGATCATGGGTGTAAGACGCTACTGTGTCAGTGACCGAAATTATTTTTGTTACATCTGTAGACATTTCACTACAAAGTCGCAGTTCAGACCCATTTTTTCACTACTGAACTCTGTCTACATCGCATATTTCGGGATGAAACTGGAAGATCAGGATAAAATGTGGGAGTCACATATTGTTTGTATCGTGCACTCTTCACTTGACTCAGTGGCTCAAAGGCAAGCTGCCCTCTGTAATCCCCAAGGTGTGGAGGAAGCCGAAGGATCACACGACAGACTGCTACTTCTGCCTAACTAGTGCCATTGGAATCTCCAACCGAAACAAAGACACAATTCATTACCCCGACCTTCCATCACCTTTTTAACCCGTTACTCATGATTGCATCTTACCTGTTCTAATGCCTCCAGTGAACATGACATTGATGATGACTAGTGATTCCGCATCATCAACTTCCCCTGATTCTGACATCTGTGGAAACTTTGAAGCCGATGTTCTCAACCCGCATCTTAATGAACAAGCAGAGCTGAATGGCTTGATACGTGATCTGGGCTTGCCTAAAGACGGCCGAGTTGCTGGCATCTCGGCTGCAGCCGTGGCACTCATTTGCCGCAAACACTAAGATTACTATATACAGAAAGCGAAGTGTTAACTTGTCCGGTTTCTGTGACACGAGCCAAACCTTTAGTTACTGTTCCGACGTGGAAGGACTGATGAAGGAGCTTGGCGTGTGACATATAAATGATGATTGGCGTTTGTTCATTGACTCATCCACTGGTAGTCTTAAGGCCATACTGCTCCATAATGGAAATGTGTATCCAACTGTGCCTCTGTTGCATGCCACCAATATGAAGGCAACTTACGAAAATATGCAACGGTTACTCGCTTCACTGAACTACCATCAGTACTGTTGGAACATTTATGCCAACTTAAAAGTCATTGGACTCCTAATTGGTATGCATGTAGGCCTCACAAGATATTGTGGCCAGAGAGGACGGTGTGTGCTTCAGGGAAAATGAGTATAAAGCGTATACTTCTTGTGCAACCTGATCATATCTATCTACCACCCCTGCACATCAAGCTTGTTTTGATTAAATCTTCGTCAAAGCCCTCAATCGAGGTGGTTTTGCGTTACAGTACCTGAAACAATCGTTTCTAAAGATCAGTGATGCGTATCTCAAAGAAAGGATACTTATTGGGCCTGATATTTGCCAGATAATGACAGACAGTGTTTCCTTTGAGTTAACTGCGTGGCGATCATTCAAGGCAGTGTATACATGATTTTTGGACAGAACAAAGGCAGAGAACTACAAGAACACCACAAAAAAGATCCTTGCGGACTACCGGGCTGTTGGTGCTCGAGTGTCACTCAAGATGCACTTATTGCGTAATCTTTACTTTTTTCATGACAACTGGGGATCTGTTAACGGTGAGCATGGTGAGCGCTTTCACCAAAACATTTCAGTCATTGAGCAGCGCTATAGTGGCAGGACACACCTATGATGGGTGACTTTTGCTGGTTTCTGCATCATGTGGGCGCTGGATCATACGAGCGAGGATCTCGGCAAAGTCATCATTTCCCAGTGCCAAACCGCAGTCAGAAGTTAGCTGCGAGTGTTGCAGTGATGTCTTCAAGGTATTTGCCACATACATGCACTATGTATATGGTGTGATTCAGTACATTTACATATAATTCGTCCGACATAGCCTTGGCTTTACTGAAAATAATTATTAGCTTATAA